TCCAGTTCACCTTAATCGTTTTATTGAGCTCTTGCTTGACGTGGTGACGTGAGTTGTTGCAACTTGGACCGCTATGCAGTAATACCAAGTCCTATATGTTGACTTTCTCAGTCTGTCTATCACCCCACCTACGTCCACCAGTAAAAGCATCGAAATATATCATTCATTATGGAGTCTGGAAGCGTAGTAACCGCAAAATATATTCGAGCCAAAACCGCTTGTTTTTAATTTAATAATGGTCCCAAGCTTATCCAACTGTTTCATACAATTCACACGGTGTTGGTTAAGAATATAGACTATTCTGAAGAGGATATAAATTTGTCTGACATTCCTGCGCCATTTTAACGAAGCTCAATTGATTATTGGAGTTGATTTATTTTGATATAAGAATGCCTATTCCAAAATATATAGCGGAGATAGGAAAATTATACAATCGCTAATAACTTTTGAACGGAACATGCTATCGGCTTCATTCTTCTTGAGTTTTGTAGAGAATTGCAGATAACTATCACAGGCACCTCATACCAGATTTGCACACATACAATCAAACCAACCAGCCAAGAACTACCTAGAAGCAGGTACTACTGAGTAAAGTTGCCACATCTCACATATCACCTCACCAAGTAACAAAGCGGTTAGATGAGACATGAAGAAAGAGAGGGAAACAAATCAAAACCAGTTAGAGAGAGGAAAAAAGAATGAGAAAATGCTGAATTCAGTATACAGATTAAGATGAAGATAGCTAATGTGTGGATACACCTGTGCTACATCACTTAGTCTCCAACCGCTGGTTCCCGTCGTCACGTGGACCCCAACCGGCCACTCTTCATTTCCCAATAATGAAGGACTTCGTAGAGTGACGCCATGTTATGGTACGGCTGCCCCGAATCTTTTTCCAATCCTAACCTACTTCAGTTAACATTATTAAACGAGGTAGATGGTGACTGGGCATGCATAGCACATGTCCCAGTCATATCAGTTGATAAACGTTCATAATCGCGTCGACTGACTTACCTCTTCCCCGTAAAATCCTACGCCTAACTTCTGCGTTACTCATGTGGTGATACCACCATACACGGTCTACGTTACGACGCCAACGGTTGTCGAACATCTTTTCTACCTCTAATGGCCATGTTTCACAGCCATGTAATAGAGCAGAGCAAATTGTATCGCAGTACACTCAACTCTCAATAGGTAACCAGATATCACAGCCTCATCATGTGGCAAAAGGTAATCAAATATTTTGTATCCATGCGGAGATCTGGTTGGTGAATCAACCACCAGGGCTGATTCGACTTTCTAAGTGAAGTAATCAACGCGCCCAACCACTTGACTCCATATTCTTAGATGAGGCACCAATGTACAACAGTTAGGGAGCAATAACTTGTATTCAGATGGCGAGAAACGCAGCCCAAACATTCTCAAATTGCCACTCAAGGTATATCTTGTCAGCATCTTCACCTAATAGGACTATGTCATCTGAGTAGTCTACGTTTATCAAAGATTCTCCAGTGATTAAATTAATCCATGTGACGTCAGATTACGAGAAAGAGAGAGAGCTTCATAAAAACAAAATTGAAGAGGAGTGGAAAGTGCACATCCCTAAAGGACACCACTCTACGTTCACAGCTCACCTAACAACTCACGAGTGTTTGAAGAAAGAGCCTTTAACAGAGTGTAGACAGTTATGTCTACACTCTGGATGTGTTATGTCTACACATTGGATAAGAGTTTCTGAACATAGGCATGATTACGGCTTGGTTTCTGGAACACCTAGTCAAAGAAAGCTTCTCAGATCCCAGTAGACAGGGGGACTAAGAAATGTCATGAGAGAATAGCCTAGCAGGAAGATCCTAGAAAAATACCAACTGTAAACATCATCGAGCCAGGCGACTCAATTGAAAGCAACACATGCACATACTAGAAAGAAATGATAAGAATTTCATGGATGAAATTAGTGAACCAAACGGTGGAGCGATCTACCACATCTCACGACACTGAGGAGCAGCAGGTAGTTAAGAATAAGTAGTATTCCAGAATGTCAACGGCAATCTTAGAACTAACTGTCGTCATTCAACGGCGAATGGATAAAGGGGAACTTGGCAGACAGACGGTGATCTACTACTAAATTATATACAGCAAGAACGCGGAATCATAATCCCATTTTGAAGATGGTCTCGGTAAAGTTAGAAATTTGTTGAACAAATCGCTCGAGATCTATAGATGAAGAAAAAGGAGCAGATCCTGTCGAAGACAGAGGGTGACCACATTGGGCCATGTTCAGTGGGGAGAAATCTTATTTTAGGAGGTGCATGTAGACTCTGCCACTGATATTTATCTCTTGCTCATTGAGTCACTAAACCAGGAAGAGAGGGAAAGAAGGGAGGAGTAACCGAACTATGAAGTTTTCATACGCTGAAGCTCCCGAGACAAATGACTCGGAACTCTTTATAGATAAGGCCAAAAACTCACTCACGTGAACTGAAGACCTTTCACAAGAATATCTGCGGTCCCCACTCCCTATTAAATGGACCGAACAAAGTAGTGCAGCAGACCTAAAACATCCCAATTTTAAAGCTTCCTTAAAAATAAAGCCCTTTTCTTAGGTTAATTACATTTATGTTTCACATACGAGTTTTCTCTTCATAAATGAGACAACAGTTTACACAGATGGTAACTTTATCATCTGTCACCAGTTGAACATGAAAATAAGTCCAATGAAACCTGATACAAAAGAGAAGGAACAATATGTCGTAGTATGCCGCACTCTTTACAAAGGCATCTTCCTAGACTGGTCAACCTTATGAACAAAAATGTTCAGGTGTCTAGTTGTAGAGGAATTCAGTGCATCATCGAGAAACTAGGACAAAGTACTGAGGTATTATTAACTTGATAATTCTATCACATTATTAGGATATGTGATTTCCTTGACTCATACACAACACCATTAAGTTCACAATGCCAGGGTGCCAAACTAACGCCAAGGTGCAATCAACGTGTGTAAGGCTGATGATAGCAGCGATTATCTCAGAAGTCTTTTCAGAAGGCTGGTCTATCAAACCAGAAGCTTCAGTTGCAGATTTTCGACACCTATTCAGCCAAATAATCAATTAATCATAGCCAACACTCACTATCCCATATGTCATTCAATTATATGAAAGGAACAGGAAATTTGGACTGTTACTGAAAAAGAAAGTACCTGGTACCGATAGGTCGAGTGCTTTTTTAGATGTGACTCGGAGAACAAAAACACCAGATAAACAAGACCCAAATCTGCTTCCAGGTTAAAAATTATATCACACGTCCACTCATCATGTTCAAACAACCCAAAGTCAAGATATGTTGATGTATACATGGAATGATACCACAGTCGAGACTAATCGAAAGATTTCGTCATCATAAATATCAACATAGGACCAGGCATTACTGAGTAACGGTCCGAGTTGCCACACCTCACATCAGTATATCAAGTAAAAAGGCAGTGAGGTGCAAGATGAAGAGAATACGGTCAGAAGAAATATAAAACACGAGAAAAAAAGGAATGACAGAATGGTGAGATTCGGTATAGTGTCGTAAGATGAGGATAATGTATATATACATCTGCGCCACTCATATCGGTTCTGAGCCATTTCATCTAGAGTCTCCAACCACTGTTGGTTCCTCTCGTCCCGCAGACCCCAACTGGCTAGTCTGTATAGCCCTATACGACTCAAACCAAGTCAAACACTTCATACATTGATGCCATGTTTTAGTCTGGCGACCTCCCACCCTTTTCGAACCTGGACGTACTCCACCTAACATTGTGTGACAAGGCATTCGGCGACTAACCATACGTAGTACGTGTCCCAAACATCTCAATCGATGAAGATTCATTAACTGAACGTTTTGTAGATTCACTTTCAAGTCACATAATGGCCTATACAATTTTGTTCAACGGATGTCCCGGACAATTCTTTGCCTTATCTCCTAATCGAAGTGACCTATTGTTAGCTATTCGAAATAAACAGATGTTTAATTCCATTTCACCTACTATTTGCGAGATCAAGAGAGGAGACACTCAGGAACGAGTACTAAGTTGGTGACATGGTCATCGCACTTCCCCAACATATAAAGCGACTGCAAGGTGTAAATCTTTATTCACCATTACATCGTGGAGAAATTTGCTCGTGTTTCGTATCTTGGTCTATCTATTAGTTTTCTTCCTCGAATGGATAATCCAAAATCTCACCAATAAAGTCTATTCCACGATTTTAACCTTAGGAAGGCAACGTGATGCATCAACCCAATCAGCATTTACGCACGGTCACTTGCCAAACACGGTAATAAAGGGATGCTCGAGATAATTTAGAGAAACGGCCCGTCTGGCTGCTATTTCTTCCCGAGACCTTGTTTAGCCCCTCGGTTATGCTAAGTGCACGGTTTCGAGACTGAAATTCCGGCACCGCTTCCGAAAAGAAGCTAGATCGTCACAGAGGTTAGTACCCCCTAATTAATACAGGTGTCAGCTTACAATCTCTAACACCGAGATTTCAGAATTACCGATACATCAACCAGACACGAACTCACGCGGACTCATTAACTAGGACTCCCTACTCGACTCTAGCATTTTCACGTAAACTCACTCAAAGAGACATCTTAACCTGACTGAGCAACTTACTGTATAAATCAACAGAGCAGCCTAGAGTATTTTGAAGGCACTCGTGAAGAGCATGAGTGTCTAAAGTGAGAAATTTAGAGATTCATTCCATCATCAAAGTGTATTTGGACAACCAATAAATTACAATTTCAACTTTGTTCTTCTCCAATGACGTCTCTTGGCATTGTACCTGACAAACATGAATGATTCAAAGCACAACTTACTTTATTTTGTTGCCTGTTTTCAACCGGACCCAATATGGAAGTGTTCGATTTTGCTTTAGTTTCTTCCCAAGCTTGGTTTTAAATCTCAACGTTTTGTGTGACCCCTATAAATAGATATATCACAAACGAGTCAACAAACCATGCTCAGAATTCGAAACCGCCGCTCTAAGGTGAGATGTCCTTAAGATTTGTCAGGTTTAGTGATCTTTTTCAAACGCCAATAAACAATATCAGTTATTATCATCGGTGTACAGTTTCAAGAATCGTAAATCATATGCCCTGTATTACTCCTGGCATATACATCTCTGTGATTATCCAGTTTTTTTTGAAGGCATTCACCCTGAAAGGCGCAACCATAAGTTCTGGTAACAGGTTTCGGTCGTTGACTAACACATGACAGAATCTAAGTTCCACCCGTATTTAACTCGACCGATGATTTTGAATAAATATGTGATAATATTTCAGATAATTAGTCAACGAAGGAGTAAGACAGTTCGATAGATCGATACCTAAGTTATTACTCAAGATATGATACATAAATATTACATCACCCTTTCCCAACAGTATAAGAATGGGAGGAGATTCAAAGTTTCCAGCCACTTAGTGTTAAGGAAATGAAGTGATGCTATCAGTAAATTAGTACATACCCTGTTTGCCCGTCCCAGATTGTCTGCCTCTTGTTTGAACTAACGAGTATATGCTCGTATGCAGTAGTCTATGTGAGGTTTTCCGCCGTGAACATTCTAAATATTTCTGAATGAAAGCAACTAAAGCCACCTATAACTGGCCGTAGCATTCAAAATGCCTTGTCTGCAACTGTATTACAGTGTGCCGTTGTTACCAAGTTATGGTTGATAACCACCTGCAGATTCTTCTCAAATGCAAAGCAATATTCACCGATCTGATTAATCAGGGCAGTAAAAAGCTTGACCATTAGGCATTAGCGCGTCTTTCTCACAGTTGATTTGTGGGCTGACGCACTTAAATCAAAAAGTTTAGAAAAACTTTGTCCAGATTTGGAATTCCGATTTGGGGCCCTTCGTAGTAATATTTTCAGTTTTTCAGTAAGACATCCTTCATGGCTGCTCGTTCTCTCCGATAACGTGATGACGCAGGTATCACCCCTTTCAGTTAGTTTCCTATTCACAATTCGTGCGGGAAATTCACCATGGCAGTCGCAAACCCTTGTAGCGTCATACACTTCCCCAAAATCAATAGCCTAGGGTTTGACGACTTCGACATTGATGCTGACCTTGATAGTTTAACTGGACTCGCTAAGCTGAAGGCATCCGGTCAAGCATCCTCGCCATTTGGCACGCTGTCGTGTTACGTTGCATTGCTCGTATTCGACTCTCTAGCCAGTTAGTTGGAACGCATCGGTATTTTGGCATAACCATCCAAATATACTATTCCATCCGACTACGCTATCGTGTTCTTCCTTGGTCTCGTATTCGTGGGTATATAACAAGTTCGAATAATTAGTGATTGGTCTTTGCGTCTGTCAAGTTCGCACCAGGACAAATCCTAAATTGGTGAGCCCGACGTGATCACATATCCCGACCAATAACAAGTATTGAATTGGTGAGCCTGTTCCATTTTATATTTGTTTATTGTTTTCATTTCGATAACATTTATATATCCATTTACTACACTTTCTCATGTCCGACCACACTCCCAAGCTTATTCGTATTAAGCCGACTCGAACACGATCCAACTCGTGCCATATTGGCCAGACAATGCAGAAACATGGTTTCTGTATGCCGAGGCCGATTTTCGAGAACAGGGTGTCTCAGATCCTCATCTCGATTTCTTGCTGTCATACGTTCACTACCGCGAGAATTAAACAGGTTTGTTACAGCAAACATGTTTAATCCTGAAGTAAGTGACCCTTATGCACTTCTAAAGGCTGCACTCTTGAAGAAAAGCGATCTCACAGATCGCCAACGTCTAGACGAATTGCTTCGTAACATCGAGCTAGGCAGCCACTCAGCTACTGAAGTCCTCGCACGCATGCGAGAAGTAATCGGTGCACGAACATTTGACGATGGTTTCTTCCGAGAACTATTTCTCTCGAAACTACCACAACCGGTGCAAACCGTGTTGGTGACACTCCAGTCAGTCCCACTCGACGACCTGGCAGCCTCAGCAGATAAAATACTGGAGATATCCAGCAGACCCGTCTCCAACGTATATTCTATCTGCGACAAAACAGAGCGCCAGGATTCGGAGGTGACCAAGTTGTGCAACTCTGTGAAACGGTTGCTACGATCTCGAAGTCCTAGATCACGTAGCACTTCACAGAAACGCACCTTGGCGCATCGCAGCAAGTCGTGTGGTAGCCCTAAAACGAAACCCAACAGGGTGGAAAACCCTGAATGGTGCTGGTTTCATAACACTTACGGGGATGAAGCCAGAAAATGTCGTAAACCATGCCGTTTTAAGAAGGACCGAACTCGGGAAACGGTCACGCCGGCACGTGCTCACGGCAACCGTAGCCGGCGGAAAAAGCCGTTTGCTCTACGTCACCGACATTAAAACGAAAGTCCGCTACCTCGTCGACACCGGCGCAGAAGTTAGCGTTCTTCCAGCAACGACAAAGGAGCGTCATCTCGACCCATCCTTCAATCTTCAAGCAGCCAACGGCAAGGCAATCGCGACATTCGGGAGACGGTATGCCTACCTCAACTTAGGTTTACGCAAACCTATTCACTGGATTTTCCTCCTGGCAGACGTCTCTATGCCCATCATTGGCATAGATTTGCTGAACCATTACGATCTACTCGTAGATGCTCGCCGTCGACGACTGATAGATAACAACACAAAGTTATCTATTGGCGGCACCACCTATGTAGGTCCGAGTTTAGCCATCGTTAGGACTAAACAATCAGGCGACGCGTCCTACCAGGCAGTTCTGGAGAAATATCCAGAGTTACAACAACCGAAACACACTCTTCCGTGCATAACCAGCAATGTTATGCATCACGTCACAACCACAGGTCCACCTGTGGCATCCAAAGCTCGCCGTTTAGCCCCCGATAAGCTGCAAACGGCGAAAAATGAATTCGACCATATGCTGGAACTGGGCATTATCAGACCGTCGAACAGTCCTTGGGCATCGCCATTGCACATGGTGCCCAAAAAGGATAGCAACGACTGGCGTCCGACCGGTGATTACCGAAGGCTTAACGCCAAAACAACTCCGGACTGCTACCCTATACCCCACGTTTACGACTTGACCGCAACCTTATGCGGCATGAACATTTTCTCGAAAATCGACTTAGTCAAAGCGTACAACCAGATACCTATGGCAGCAGAAGATATCGCGAAAACAGCCATTATTACTCCTTTTGGCCTGTTTGAATTCCTGCGCATGCCTTTTGGTCTTCGGAATGCAGCACAAACATTCCAACGCTTTATGGACGACGTCTTCCGTGGTCTGAATTTTGTTCATGTCTACATAGATGACTGTCTAATTGCGAGTCCAGATAAGGAAACACACCTTAAACATTTGGACCTCGCATTCGAAAGACTCAAAAAACATGGCATCACAGTTAACTTACAGAAGTGTGAAATAGGAGTTGAATCACTCAGCTTCCTTGGGCATACCATTGACAACAAAGGTATACGCCCATTGAGAGATAAAGTGGCGGCTATCACAAACTATCCAGAGCCGACCACTGTGAAACATCTCCGCACTTTCAATGGCCTGGTAAGTTATTACCGAAGGTTTATCCCTAACTGTGCCTCTGTCATGAGACCACTCACAGATCTACTTCGAGGAACTGCGAAGTAGTCAGGATGGCCGGAAGCAGTACCCATTAAAGATATTACTGCCGAAACAGTTGCTCGTGTTTTCGTCGAAAGATGGATCGCGAACTTCGGATGTCCATCTTACGTCACAACCGACCGTGGGCGCCAATTCGAGTGTGGACTATTTCACGCTCTAACGGCACTTTTAGGTTGCACTCGGTTCCGAACGACAGCCTACCATCCACAAGCCAATGGCATGGTAGAGCGTTTCCATCGACAGCTGAAAGCTTCCCTTTCAGCTACAAACATACCTCAGTGGACCGAGGCTCTGCCTCTAGTCCTACTAGGTATTCGTAACGCGTTGAAAGTTGATGCTGGATGCACTCCTGCAGAACTCGTCTATGGGACCACTCTTCGCCTACCAGGTGAGTTTGTTTCCCCTTCAACTTTCAAACACGTTTCCGACAGGGCATCTTACGTGACTAGGCTTACAAACGCAATGCGTTCAGTTAGGCCTTCTCCGATTAGACCGCAAACGACTGATGTTTTCGTCCACCCCAGTTTACAGAAGACATCACACGTGTTTGTTCGCCACGACGCTGTTCGTCGACCACTTGAACCACCCTACGACGGGCCGTTCAAAGTGATTAAGCGACATGAGAAATTCTATGTAATTGAGCGAGGCGGACGCGAAGATACTGTCAGTATCGACCGTTTGAAACCAGCTTATTTCGAAGGCAACCCCATTGTAAGTGACGTTTCAGCTCGCTACATCCGGCCGACGGATGACTCAATTATCGAAATTCTCGACGATGTGCCTGGTAATGCACAGCTGCAACAACCAGCGGCGCAACAAAAAACACGATCAGGTCGAACCGTCAGGTTCCCAGAGTACCTGAAGTCATATTCAACTTAGCTATGTGTGTGCCAACCATTTTTTTTCGAGGCACTATTTTTCTTATTTACCGGCACAAACCCTCGTACACTTTGCCTTTTTATATCAATTTTTATTTACCATGTAATAAAAACTAAAAAAACGGCGAAGATAAGCGTAAATTTTTCTTTTTCGACACGTTTATATATAAATAATTCCCATTTTTACGCAACGTTTTCGTGGTATTAAAGACTTTTATTTATATTCCAGGTGCAACGAGCACTGGACGGAACGTCGAAAGGAACAGATGACCGCGACCGACGTACAATTTCATTTATTGTATTTTATTTATTTAATCGCCACGACACTTTAGAATAAGGTTCAGACAACCAGGGGCCACCTCACGCAGTGAGCCCATCGGGAGAGTTTTACCAGTGGAGAAACCACTGGGTTTTTACTTCCGGCTGGTATCGTCTTAGGGTCCTCACGAACCCACTAGGGGGGGAGTGATCTGTAGCGTCATACACTTCCCCAAAATCAATAGCC